TTACGGTCCAACATATTTTCGAGATTAGATTGAACAGATTAAATCGCACGGCTTAAAATTTGACTTCACGGGATAGGATATGCTGTGCGAAGTAACTCGGGACAGCCCGGCTCTTACACGTGTCAGTTATCGTGCGGTTGGGGTAATCTTTTTCGGGGCTTGTATCAGTTGTTGTAATCTTACAAACCTATTGATAATTGAGATATGTTATTTTACACATCAACTCAACAAGATTCATGACCACATTTTGAATCTACAAAAGCAGACTCATTTATTCAGACAAAAATCACATTTATGGGTTTAATGAAACAAACTGGTCTGGACAAACTGGCACTAAGCCCAAAAGGCCTGGTTATGCCCATGTAGAAATGCTTGTACGTACAAAGAATTTTGTCTGTGTATCGTAGTTGTATGTGGGCATGTGGGACAAATCACAAGATGCCATGTGTGCAAAAAACTAAAACCTATGTATGGATGCGGTGAACCCTAGTGGGTAAATGGTCATTTCTCATCTAATTTATAACACGTGTCATCTATTCATTGGTCCCACACGCACCACGTACTAAAAGAAACACATTAAATTTTTTGCTTGTACGTATAGTACAAAAAGCCCAAAAGCGCCAACCATTACAATCCCATTCTGTTTCTATCTGTTTTAAAGGATTTTTATATCCCCTTTAGCCAAGCCCAAGAGATGGTTTTTGGCAACTTTTAGGCCCATCTCAGCCCAATTCGTAGTTGCCCTCTCATCGGCTTTACTGCCTAGCTAGCCTTATACTGTTCTGATTCTGACTTCTGAGCTGTGACAGATTTTTATATAAGTTTGGCACGTACAAAAAGTTACTTATTTCTAATCAAAATTTGTCCATTTCAAATGCCACAAGCCCACAACAAATCATGTGTCATTTTGCCCGCACGCACACATGCAAATGCAACATATGTTTAGAGCAATAAAAATCAACTTAGCATAATCCCAAACCCAGAACTCCTGAAGCGTATTGGTAAAGCATAACTAGTTACATGTATCATGTGTTGCGCCTCGTAAAAACGTAACTAATAAACACCGTCCATAATTGGAAAAATACAATCACAATTGAGAAATAAATCAATACAAAACACAATACTTTATGTGGTTCGACTTTCGCCTACGTCCACAGAACAAAGAGAATCGCTTTATTACTCAAAGAAGACGAAGAACAATATAACATATAGAAAACCTTAACTTTGATATAAGGTTCTCTGCTCACATCCTGTGATCAGCAAAGCTGCATGCTGACTGCTGAGCCAAGCACCACTTCTTGATTCATATGCATTGATGGTTCGAGCTGATATATTATTGCCAATTAAAGGGAACTTAGTGATCTGACAAGGTGATGCTAGCTGCTGTTAGTTGATAATTCTTGTAGGTTGAAGGTGCGCACGCTACAGCTACTGCTTCAGAGCCTTTCAGCTTTGAAGGCTGGAATCCTTGTAAGTTGCAAATAAATAGTTCAATTGGGGGTTATTATCTGACATGCAGGGCATGATCATTGATCAGAGGGTGTTTGCTAACACTCTCTCTAATTGGTTCTCTTTATTAAAAAACTAAAAACTTAATTTGGATTTAGTGAAACCTTAGTGGAATCTACACAAAATTTGGACTAATCACAAGGCAGTAGAAGTAATGACTATCTGAAAAATCAAATTTAGATTTTTGTGGGTGCAATGCGTGGCACTATAGTCAAGAATAGAATTTGCAATTTGAAAAATGTAAAGATGTTGATGCTTGCTTTAACATTAATTAATCAACTAACAACTAACAACCAACACGCTAATAACATGAGTGTGAATTAATTTTCACATAAAACAAACAGCCAATTAAAACAGGCCGCGATTCAATAAGTCATAGCCTCCTCGTAAAATAAAATAAAATATTCGTTTCTAATTTTATACAAATACTACAATCAAGATATATATATTGTCGGCAATTCGTGTTCAGACAGATTGTCTGGAGTCTGGATATCAAGTTAGATAACCCCATAAATTCATCAAGGCAGTAGAAGACTAGAAGTAATGACTAAT